ACACCCAAATGAGGCATGGTGTTTAAAAAAAAAGTATAGATGTGAGCAAGGTAGTAGTTGCTAAAAGGCCTGGTGGTTACCTGAAGCCAGATCACTGAGAAACCTAAATAGCCATCCTGCTAACAAGGATGGACTAAAATTAGCAGGCAGGGTCAATTAGAAGGTTTCTAAGAAGACAGAATTAAATGTTCAGTAACATTACCTGTGTGAAGATAAAACGGACATAAACCGGGGTGGAGGTGGGGGATTAATACCAAACCCTACTAGGAGACTAAAGTTTCAGAATTCAGGAGTTGAAATTGGAAATAGAAGGTCAGGAGACTAAGAAAGGATCTACTCTATTAACACAGCTTAGAAATTTGTATCTATTCACTGAAGGTCAAACAAAATATACTTATAAATTCAGTTTTAGCATTCCAGAAGGCTGCAACACTCTGTACTGTCAAAAAGTGATTTTTTTCCTCTGCGTTTGTAAAGGCTGCTTCCAGCAAGTCAAAGCACGTCTTAAATAAAATTGGGAGAATCACGGATCATAATGCATATATTTTGTATTTGGCAAAAAAACAGAGGCTGTGTCAAACTGAATTCGAGTAAGCTGTTTCTGGATAAGCTGTTTCACCAAAAAAATAGTCGATGTGATTATCCTTAGAGAATAGAGAACGAAAAAAAAAAAAGTCTCCTGGCTGCCCAGCACTAGAAACTTTCTACGTGGGATGAGTATTTTCAGCGTTTCCAGTTTGACACTGTAGATCTCTAAGAGGCCGATTCCCGAGCAGCATTCCCGGTCCAGGAGACCAGAAGGCTCACAGCGGGCTCCCTACTGGGCCTTCCTTTCTTCTTCCCCTTCCCCTTCCCCCTTAGCAGATAAAAACATGTGCACACATTAGGAAAATCCAAAGCAGCAGACTGTAACTATAAATACAGACAGAAACTTAAAACAAACAAACAAAAACCCTCCTGAAAGGGAGAAAGGGAAAGCCAGGCATATAGATCAAAGCCCTGTATTAGTATAGTTCCCAATTAACCATTAAATTAAACAGCTTAAAAGAGAACAACACAATCACTGCTAAAAGCATCAGGAAAGACTCAGCAGGGTGAATTCTAATTTTAATTCTGCCTGGAACTAGTTTGCAGCTCTGGCACATTAAACCATCACTCTTTCCTAAAGGGTTTCCTCATCCAAGAACAGGAAATGGCACCTGCTCTACCTGCTTCAACTGCTGTTGTGAGAAAATCAGATCACAGAATCTTCACTTCATGATAATTTTAAACCTCATAGATGGCCAATTATTCAACTTGTTCCTGAGTATTTACAGTAAGGAGAATCTCATTATTTCTCAACATCAACTACTACTTTCTGGACAGCTCTAATTCTCAGAAAGTTCTTCCTGTGTGCAATGGCCATCCTCTGGTATTACAGGGAAAAAAAAAAAAACTAACAAAGAAACTGGAAAAGCCAAACAAATAGACAGTAATGTGAACAAATGAAAATTCCCATTAGTCAGAAGAAAGAGAAATCACTTTAAACCAGGAAATTTTAGGGAAAGCTCTCCCAAAGAGTAGGTATCTGCCAATCCTTGAAAATGGAGAGTCCTGACCACAGGCTTCAAGCTGAGTCTTTCAAGGAAGTCTTTTGTCTGGGAGAGACTGACAAGAGAGCACACGGCATATCACAGAGTTCTTGAAGCTCTTCTTTCCAGGTGGGGGGGGAAGGGGGTAGAGGGATGGGGTGGAGGGGGGGCGGAACATGGGGCATTAGCACTGTGCTATAACCCCAGCCCAAGCCAGCGTCTTGCTAAATCGCTAAACTGCCCAGGCTGGGAAAGAACTTGCTTCAAGCTCAAAGGGTTCTGGGATCACTGACTTGAGCCGCCACACCCAAATGAGGCATGG